AGAATACTGTTTCGACTCTTACAAGACAAATGGCCGACTTTTCATATTCTAAACGTTTTACTTTTATGTTGCCTACTTAATCATGTATTCTTCACTCAGCTCTTGGGCATGAAAAGGTGAGCCGGGGGACTTGGGATTTATCCCGGGGCTTAGTTAAAACCACCTTGTGCAAATCGAGTGTTCGTGCAAGTGTAGCTTAGTAGCTCTTATCATGATGGTGCCAACTTGGATTTTAGTAATCCGTTTTTTTAACAAACAATAACACATGGAAGAGACCTAGTTGCATACTGACTAACTCCTTTTCGATCGGTAACATACTAGGTTTCATGCCTTTTACCCTTTAAATTTAAAACTATTCTCATTTATATCATAAAAAAATACTGCTTGAAAGGAATGTTCAGTACCATCAGTATGGAGGCCTTACACCAGGGCTTGATCCAGCTAAGAACCACCTTGCACAGCGACTAATTTCCACACACTTGAATTTCATCCAGACCTAAAGTGTTGAAACATCCTTGCACAAGATTATGAACATACTAAGTGGCTAACTTTAGAAGAAGGTTCCTCGTTTCAAAATTCTTTCTTAAAAGTGGCTATATTAAGAATCAAATGTTTTTCTTTTTTCGATTTGAAGCTTTATTTGGTAATGGACTTACAAGGTTGTGCTTCAACGCATAAATGTTGCACCTTTCAGCAGAGTTGTGATTAAGCCATGGCTATCGATTGGGTCAGTCTCCAATTCCCTTCTTCAAACAAACAGGTGAGCGGGATGAAGTTACGCCAGTACATGCGGGGAAACGCGTTTAAAACTTACTAGTTAAGGAGTATTGTTTTCAGCATTAGTTTCCAAACATCCGCCAATTTTTGTGAGTTTCAATTCCTGTCAAGCTGTTTGATATATGAAACTTGGTTGATGTTCCTTCCAATAAAAGACTATGAGTACCCTTTCTCTGTTTATCTTAACCATCACAGTATGCATATTCCCTGCACTTTTCTCGATACATTTCATGTAGTAGTGATGACGAAATTTTTTCAACAGTGAAAAGCTTCTTTAGTAGGCGATCATTTCCTTCATTCTCGATTTTGATTTCTCTGCGTGTGATTGACTTGAGCTTTCCAACACTAACTTCTTTAGCCTTTCTTTCTGTGACGGCTATTTTCCCAAACGATGAATTGAGATCTTACAAAATTAGCGATGTAATACTCGAATCCTATAATTTCATGCACAGTACGTACCAGATATCACCTCGATATATTTCATAATTCTCCTATACCCGTTTCAAGGTAATGCATGATCTTGGGAGGGAGATGAGCCGTGAGCATGTCACCTGAAGCTGAGCGTGCTTGCATGTTGGTTGAATGGTTCTTATCACTAACGCTTTCAAGGAAACGTGAAGTTTAAAAGGAAATAAAGTAGAACCCTCCGCAAGATAGGATAAGAAGGGTAATGTTAATCAGATTTCGCGATCTCATTTAGGTCTGCATGCAAGGCTATGCTATCCATGAAGGAGTCGCGTATACAAGTGCGAAGAACATGCGATTTTTCCGGGATGATATCAGTAAAGCTTTGCCGCTACAAAAAGTGAAATAATTCCGTGGTGAGCGTGTCCCATCTCGTCTGCAAATACTCGCCAAAAGAAAAGAAAGTTACAGGTACTGAGAATTGGATACTTTAGTTGACATATACTAAGCTAAGCCCAAGATGTAGTGGTAGCAGCATGAGTTTGTGAAAGCAATTTCCACTCACTCGAAAAAAGTGTTTAAAACAGGGCAATTTAAGAAATATTGCATTACTAAGTAGAGTAAATTGAATATATAGGGATAAAGTTGGGTGCACCATCAAATTCTTGTTTGACTCTATTGAAGAGCAAACTTCCTGACGTAATTGGCTCAACTACTCAGCGAAAGCTATGAAACAATTAACACGCAATATTGCATTTTTTAGGTGAGGAACGTGGACGAAAAAAGGAGATACCTCGTAGAATTCTTTTCAGTCTTTATTTACAGAGTAGCTAGTAGTATGTACATTCTTCATAAGAAAAAAAAGAATCTCCTTCAAGCGAAGTTGCGTAACAAGCTTTGTTCATCGGATCATTATAAATGAAACGAGAATAAAATAGAGTTGAGTACAACCCCATGTTTCCAAAAAAGGTTTTAGCTTCCAAAAATAAAACGAGATGAGAGTTATATCACAGTAAATTTTAAGATGGTAACTCAACATTGCGAGAGAGAGGCGCATGGTATTTTTCCTTGACATTTTAGACTTGTTAATGCAAAGCTAAACATTATACTTGTAAAACGCAACAATATTTCATAAACGTTCTCGAAAAGTTATGGCCTTGAGTTAACGTAGAGTGATTAAAAAGATGATTGAATGGTCTAAAAAAGAGCAATTCAAGCAAAATAACTCTAGAATGGATGAATTCTGTCCTCCAAATGACGCAGGGCGGTTTCGTAAACTGCGAATTTTCTCGTGGAGTGTCCGAACAAGGTGAAATTAATAAAAAACTGGAGGATACAGCGATTGTCTTTGGCTTTCATATTGGCACGAGGGATAGCGTACAAAATGTTGAGTGGGAGGTGATGAGAACGAGAAAGTGTTAACTGGAGCCAGTGAAGAGGCTGGACATACTGAAGACCAAGGCATAAAAGCCGAGGAGAATGAATTGATTGTGTCCCGAGGCTCGTAATAAGGGCATGGTTGTAAGCAAGGAACCTCTGCGGGATGGTAGTGTCCCCCGCATGGAACCTTGGGATCGTCCTCGAACTGTCCATCATGCTTAATTTGTTGACGACTCTTATATCGGTGGTTCTGAAACCAAATTTTCACCTGTGAAGGCGTCAGGTTGATCATCCTTGCTAACTGATCTCTTTCAACAGCTGAAAGGTACTTTTGAACGCGAAATCTGCTTTCTAATTGGTATACTTGAGCCTTTGAAAATAAGACGCGTCTCTTCTTCTTATTTGACGCTTTCATCTTGGTGGTAGCTGGGGAATCCGTATCACCTTCTTTTTCTTTAATCCCGGATTCTGCGAGGAAAAGAACAAATTATTACAGTTCATCATCATCGATTGAGTTCATATAGCTAGTTTATCAATATAGAGACCAGTAACTTATAAGAAAATTGCGTGTAGTGCTATAGTAGTAGACATCTTTATTTATACAGGAAGGGGTCCTGTTACCCACCCATCCCACCCCAGGGGAGGACATCCATCACACAGTAATCTCGTGTGTGGGAAATTAACGTCTCCTGCCCCTAACCCTGCAGGAGACGGGACCTCCATTTATTCGTCCCTATCCGAGAAGACTAGAATATCTAACCATTTCTTGATGTTATAGAAAGATAGCATATTCTTCTCAATTATATTAAGACCCTGAAACTAAAGTCTCACATAATCATATTTAATCTTTACTAGTATTAGGACTGTAAACCGTGCTAAACCGTTTAATGGAAAGCCATTAGTTGAAACGATACAATCGTCTTAAACCATTCACTCTTTTGGCCAGTACACGCGCATAGCCAGTTACAGCAATCCTAATAGTAAAAAAAAAGAGATCCCACAGGGATCAACGAACGCTTTTCATTCCACTAATTTATTCATGTTTTTCTCGTTGCCATGTTCCCACCAATAACGTAGCTCCATTTTCTGCACACTCAACCCACAATTCCTCTATTCGCTCCGACGAAAGGCTAAAGCTCGAAACGTCAGCTTTTGTAATCGTTACGGTGGCCAATTTACCATTTCAACTTTGTTGATATATCCAGACTAATAGTAAAAATGCAATTGCAATGACTCGGCACCACTGTGGTTAGATTATCAGTTAGCCGGATTTCATGATTTGCCCAACCAGTAACTGAGGTTCTGTCGACCTTATTAGGACGCCATGATCGATCTCTTGCTTCATCAGCAAATTAGTTTTCTCCTAGGGGGCTTAGCTAGATCATGAATCATCGAAAAAAGTTTTAAAAAGTTGACTGTTTTGATCATTGAAAGTTTTAGCTCTATGCAGATGGTACTGATAGGTCCTTTGACCGTCAAAAACTGCGGAGTTGCAGGTTGGCTTAACTTGCAAAGAGTGAGGTCTACCCCCTACGAGAAGTAATAATGAACAGGTTGAAAATTCCCAAATATAATCAGTCGTGCCATAATCTTAGGAGCGCTCAGGGTTACTGTTTTATAAATTCATTACAGAATGACAAGGACATGAAGATTTGTAGTCAAAGATCGTTCTACCCACCAAAACCAGACATATCCTTCTCCTCATCAAAGCTAAATCAGTGCAATACTTAAACGTACGTGTACTCTCCAATTTCTGCCACAGCTCACTATGACCTCGTTGAGAAAGCGCAGAAAAAAGCCCACTATAGAACTTAAATTGTTCATGCTAGCAAAACCAGTAGACATCCCAATAATGGCAATTATTTCTTAAAGCACCAACAACACAGCTCAGTCCATTCGCTCGATACAGAACCTCGCTTTGGTCATTTTTTCAAGACAGAAAATCTAACCTCTTGCATGGATCCTTTGCATACAACGAAGACGCTTTTAGTTAAAACTACTAAGCTTGTTTGTTACTCACGGAGCTGTGCGTAGAAAGATACTTTTTTTGGAAACTCTAACTTCAACAACGCCGAAAAACCACCAGGAAAAACCATTTCTTTCACTTATTCATGTGAGGGCGAGTAATAAATGAAAACAATGCTTTGACGTTATCTGTACATGTTCAAACATGAGAATTAGCAGCTCAACTTATTCGGCGCTTGTGGTGCGCATGATCGGTTAGGCCAGAGAGTCAGTCTTTATTTTTGGTCAACTTGTTTAAACCTTATTCAGTTCATCGATTCCAGCAGTTACCAACATATTTTGCTTTGTTTGTTTCCCCACAAGTTAAAATCAGCTAATATCTAATGAAGATCTTAACCATGAACGTGGAAGTAGACATATGGTCTCAAAGGCCAGTTGTGTGTCGATCTAGTGATACGCGTGACTCTTGAAAACAAATCAATCCTTCGGGCCACATTTTTACCATTTTTTGTGACCCACTGTTCCAGATTTATAGGCATGCAACAGTTTACAACCTTTTTTCATTTGAGACTTGACAAGTTATGACTTGACTAGGTCACTTTCCCGAAATAGAGTGTCCACCGGTGTGAAAAATGAGCTAAAATGAACAACACCTTTGATAATAAAATCATTGCGTGTCTTGGTTAAAATAATAATACTTCGATCCAAGAGTGCCTCAAGAACGCAACTCCGCCTACCTCTAAAACATTTACACCTTCTAATCTGTAGTGAGTGTAATCTCGTGGGGTCAAAGAACCACTTTTAGACAAATGGCGCCCAAGTTGTCAGACGAACCAGCATGAATGACTCTACTGGCACGATTTTATGACATTTTCTGTCTAAAGTGACCAAGATTTTACCAGAATTTTACAGAATTTGACAGTTATCGCGTCGCTCGACAACTCAATTTAAACTCATTGTAAAAACATTTATTACTTAATTTGCATGAGATTCCCTCCATCTTTACACATACCCTAAATTTCCAAGGTTCTCCCCAGTCTTATTTGTTAAGTGGTTCAAGTATTTCACTTCATGATCTTTTATTCTGTAATTCTCAACAATGCATGTTAATAGTATTTCAGCTTTCGCCTTTAAAACCCACTGTTCAAGAACTTAAGAGGTTCATGATATTGCTAATAGAAAACTGTACCAATTCTGTTGCTCTTGAGCTGGCGTGTTTAAGATAAGATTATTAGAAAGTTGTTGCGTTTTTCCTGTCTACGTTTGAATTTTAATCCTAACCACAGGGCTTTCTCGTCAGACAGTGATAAATGCAGTGCTTCACGCATTTTTTATGCTTGTCACGTTTTGATTTGAACTGAAATCCACTTAAGCTCAACATGGAATAAAACTGAGAAAACTGAACTAACGTGTTTGAAGGCTACTTGAAGAAGCACGTCGAAAGAGTAAATACGGACAGTTATTTCTGTTTGAATGAGGCCAATTAATTTCTTCCGGAGAGGGAAGATGAAGTGATCAAAAACATCGCTAAGATGTCAAATTGACCCAAAGAAATATTCTCTCATGCGTTTGTCCATAACTCAAAGTCACAACTGGATTGAAATACAGAGAAAGAATAGAAGAGAAGACGATTTGTAAAGTATGTTGCGAGATATGAGAACGCGTGGGTTCCGCTTGAAAGCCTGGTGATAGTCACTAAGCTGAAATACGGATTTTAATTTCCTACGAAGGCCCTGCTCGTGTGCGATAACACAGAGCTTTCTTTGATCTCCTAATGAACATGATATTGAAGTTATCAGTTAGTAATGAAGAGTGGATGTAGGAATATTCGGATGATCTGGTTAAAACATTATCCAATTTAGTCCTTCTCGATGCTATTTTAATTGGATTCGAACACCTTTCAGAGAAATAATATTTTCATTTCCCACTTCTAAAAATAATGATATACAGCTTGACCGAGTTAACCTTTCTTAAAAAGCAATTAATGGGCAACTTTTAGCCTTTGCCAGACCCTCAGTAAATGAGAACGATCACGAAAAGAAGAGAATTGTTGCTCAGGTAGTGATCACGCGGAATGAAAACTGTGGAAGCTTCGCAATTTTCAATGTGTGAGACAAAAGCGAAGGAAATTGTACCGGCCGAAAACGTCGTGTTCATCAAGCAGTGATAAAGAAGAAAATTACAGCAACATCGACAAGATTAATTTCCTATCTTTGCTTTTCAACTACTGCTCAAAGCTTTAAAACGCTGAGAGGCAACTAATGTTTCTCTTTCCTGTACTTTGAAAAGTGCGTTAAGCACTTAAACGTTGTGGCTCTCCCAAAATACGATGCGGAAATACATTGAAATCTCTGAAAAAAATATATCCCATGAAAACAAAATTTTCATACTTACCACAATGTTTATCCAACTTATAATCAGGGCTATTGTCGTTCGTTCTTGCCGCGTCGATTTCGACATGTGCTGTTGACTTCTCAGTAGATGGAAATGTTTCCGTTTTTATGATGTCTTCTCGATAATCCACCGAGCCTCTTCTAAGATTTTGCTCTTCATTACCAGAGCTTAGGATACCGTCAATGGAGAAAGTAATGATTTGCCTTGAACCTAGCTGAGCCATAGTTCTTGCGTTGTATACAAGACGCAGAAGATATCTCTAATTCGAGCAAGCTGTCCTGTTTAGCTTTTGCGTGTGGCAAAATAAAGGAAATTAGGGCGGGACCTTATCGAGTGGACCTTGCGTTAACACTAGACAGACAGTCTTATGATTGGTTCTTGGCTGAGGTGCTGATCCGTAAGAGTTTAAAAATAATTTAGATAAGTGCAATACTTTACAAGACAAACAATAACAAAATTGATTTCCTTCAACGGAAATGCCAAAGTAGCTGCATGAGTGTTCAGTGTTGTTAGTGACAGCGGATTAAGAGGCCAGTCTGACGTAAAACATCACACACGACCCAGAGGTCATTTTTCCGTCTCGTAAACCCCGATTTAGGAGAAATCTGGCACGGAAAACGCGCGAACGTGCTCAAACGGCCCTTCAGTAGGAGAGGACAAGTGGTCTTCAAATTAATCAGCATTAGAATTCTTCTCTCTTATGGCATTCACCAAACCTACAGCGCCCTGTCATACACATCACTCATTTCCTTTTATCGGATTTAATCTGTCAGCTATGTCAAAAAAACGATCGTCGTTTAATGGGTTTAGGCACGTATTCAAGGACAGTTCATTTGAACTCAATGGACTTTACGATGTCTATCTGCTCATAGTGGAAGCTTTGCCCGATAAGAGGGGGGATTAACCTGTGAGGGAAAACGGAAAGACTTGCCAGATTGTTTTATTTCCCTTGATCATGTCAAAGTCTAGCTCACTTGTCCTGTGTATTGTAACAGGTAAGAATCTCCAGAGAGCTTTAAAGCTTAAAATTAACAGACCCATTAGCTCTTGGCATTAGTTCAGGGACCAATGTTTGTCAGTAAGAGGCATGTTTGTGGCCATGAGGTATGCTACTTTGGTAAGTAGCAGGCGCTTTAAATTCGAAATACGAAAATTATTTCAGAAAAAGCCATTTTCACAAAAAACAATTAACAGAGTTTCACATATGGATTATTTACGAGCCTCAAGACAAGATAGCTTCTTATAATTTGCTTCCCAGGTGGGCTAAGTTTGGATGACAGACGTGACTCCCGCGAGGATGTTGTGTGACACGTGGTCGATCAGTCAGCTTGCCAAGCGATGACTCGGAGATCATGCCAATCAACTGAACACAAACATCGTTTCATGTAGCTCTGTTTGGTCTTGTGGAAGGTTAAAAAAGTAAAACTTAAGCTTAAGTGCAAGCTTTTCTCTGAAATATCAATTTCCTCCCACTGCTGTTCTTTGTCATCTAACTGATAGTCCCAATGGGGTCATGGCATTTACGGCTAACGGTTAAAATTTTGGCCAACTTACGTCAAACGGTAATACCTTTCCAATGTTGTCACCAGAAAATGTTTTCAACGATTAACTTTTTTACGGCTAACGGTTAAAGTTTGTAAATTTTTATGCTTAAGGGCTAATTTTTTTAGTCTGAATTTCAGCCGTCTCTTTCCTTTACCCCAAGGGGGGGGGAGGGAGGGGCGCGGGAGAGAGCGCCCCCCTTGGGGTAAAGGGAAGAGACGGCTGAAATTCAGTCTATAATTTTTTGGCCGTTTTACGCCTAAAAGTTAACCCCTTTGAGACCCCCCTAACTTTTATTCTTAGTCGTCTAGCTTTTTTTGGCCTCTTCAAGAAAGAAAATTGTTTATGTTATTTCACAATCATTTTGTAATCACCTTTGCTTCTTTCTAGAAAGGCTCAAAATACACAAGCAATTGACGTCGGCATTGACAGTTTCACCTGGTGTCATTTTATGCTTTCTTGAGGAGGTTAATTCCTTGACTCATTCCAAAGCAAATCAGAAACTTTAGAGATTTGAATCTTCAAGATTTACGAAGAGCGAAGGGTACTATAATCCAATTTAAAATGTAAATTTAATTTTTATTGAATTGTAATTTGATGTTGTCAACTTTGATTCAGTACCTTTATGAGCTAAGTACATGAATGATACATAATTACGTTTCATATTGTAAGGAGAGGACTATTTGCCGTTTTTGAGGGACTCATTGTTCCTCACCATGTATGAAACGAGCTTAAAAAAAGAAAGAAGTCAAAGGCTACACAGAAAACAAGCTTAAATAAAGGAGATCTGCAGCTAAAAAGAAAATATCATAGAGGATGGAAAGTATCTATTTTACACAGAAGAAATCAAATTTATGTCAACATCGCCATTTCATTGCCGTCATTTAGAAGCCGTCTAAAAGTCAACGGTTAGTCTTACAAAACAATCTTGTCTTTTGAGCCAACAACTGTTCTAAAGGTTGCCATGTGTGGTTAGTAGTCCATTTCTACCGGAAGACCGAAGATTTTCATAATCACGTACCTAACCACACTGTGGCGTTTTTCACACAAGCTTATTATTGTCCAGTGCCGCCCCCATCGTTTGCCTGGGGAATGTGTGATACCCCATGTATCAGGTTTGTACAATTCAATTACTTTAAACAAACATTTGTGCAAGGTATAACCAGGTGTTTGTAGGTTTGTTTTAGAGAACAGCTTGCTGTGATAAAAAATGTACAAAATTTTGTTTGGGCAAACCACCAAATTAAATGACCTGGATTTGTGGCTGGGGCCCTGATTGCAAACATCATGTTGTGAAAAGTATCCAGGTAGTGTTTACCAAACTTCAACAGCCTTTCAACCTCCCTCGAATACTGCAGCTTAACGAAATAAAGTGGGTAAGGCCAGAATAAATAAGAAACTGGCACATTTGAGCGAAAGTAGCATTTTACTTCGGTGGAAATGAGCTAATCGGCCTTGAATTCCGTAAGTCACGCAAAATAATAGACTTGACTTATGACAAGTGATGAATGGACTTTCGCAGGTTAACTGCGGGTAAGCCTAAGCGAAACCTGAAATATTTTTTGGCCTGAGTTTATACAGTTGCTTGAATTGCAGTATACTCGTGCAAATCGATTCCTTTCATATCATCTATAGTTGAAATCCATGCATCATTCCAAAAACATTCTTTCACCTTTCACTCCCTAACATCTAAATCGTAAAGTTGGACAAATTTCTCCAAAGTATCTCAAACAGAAGTAATTAATTTTACCCTACTAGCAAATAACTTGTGTTCTTTGTCACTCGTTAAGTCCACATCCCCCCTATTTACAAAACCCAACAGAATAACTACTCGGATAAAAGCTACTGAACAGTTATTTTATGTGGTACTCACTGCTTTGCTGTGTAAAGTGCCTCTTACATCGTGGATAAAACCCACGCGTGTCACCATCCAAAAGAAAGCTACTTAACAGTTACAACTAATTCTTTGCATTAAACCATAATATGTGTCCATTCAAATAAACTATGAGCCTTTCTCCATTCAAATAAAGCCAAGCAGTATTTACATTTGGTCCTACAGAATGATTCTGACTTTCAAGTTTGTGGATGGAACCCTAATGTGTAAAAATGATGCAAATGAAAAACAATGTGCTTCAATGTATCTACCTTTTGAGGTGTGCGGTTAAAACCGTATTGTAATGTTCGCAAATGGAGGCTTCTCGACAGAACTTCAACATGACTTCTAAAGTTTTGTTTGGCCAGACAAAACCGCAAAACAAATTGAGTGTATTTGACTGAGAGCCTGCAGATCGTATCAGCGAACCCTTCAGACCAAGGACAGTCTCACATGATTGCCGGAGAAGTTCCCTAATAGGAATTTAATCGTCGCTTTTTGTTTCTTTTGATCGGAGCAACTTGTGGGACGAACGTTTAAGTTCACGAATCTTGCCTAACTCGACTTTCTGATGTGTTCCAAACGGCGTTGAACGGTCATCGCAAGTTCGCGACAACAATGCCGGAGCATAATTCTTGGAATTAAAGAAATCTTACTCTGTGAACATAAATCCTAAACAGAGAAACTTTTTTCCTGAAACTGCAGAAATATATGCACGTAAACGGTAGTAGTGTCGATCAACTCATCTTTGTAGATCTTTGAGAGTCATGTACAAGCATTGCGCACGTTTGAAAACAAGTATATAGCGATGCAATTTAGGTGAGAAGAAACTGAGTTGTATTTACTTATATTTTGTTTAACGATCGAAATGAGAAGAAGTTACCCTATCGTTGAAGCTGTCCCTGAAATATAGCAGGCACCAAATAGGACAGCATGGATAATATTGTGAGCTCGTTTTCGATATATTTTGTGTCGTACTTTAGTTTCAGTGAATGAAAATGAAACGTGTATTAAAGTGAGTTAGGTTCATCTGGCCAACCCAAAGATTCATTCTTTACCTTTTGTGCTATAACAGAGAAGAAATAAAGGACTTCGCCAGAGTATTTCCCTCATACCTGCACGAATTTTCGCACAACATGCATGCAGGGATTATTAATCCGTAGCATGTTTCGAATTCATGCGGAGTATATTACTCCTTACCGGTGTTAATTCGTTGTTTTTTAAGAAGGATGTTGATGGGCTTAGTTTGATTTTGACACTGCATCAATTTGGGAAGTCCGGAAATATTGTTAGTCGAGAGCTGGAGTACAAGAATTCTTTTACTGAGACTTCTCGACTGTTCCTTCTTATTACTTAAGAATTTATCCACTGCTAGTTAGGGACAGAGGGGCGCGCTTTGTCGAGTACCTGTGTGTAGCAGCTAACTCCACTAAGGAACCGGACAGCAATATTTCTTTCAATTCAAGTAACCTCTGTATACGTATAAAATCCGACAAAAATAGTATGGCAGTTTTCTTACAAGCTTTTTTTTTTTTTTTTGGCTACCCAGTCAGGAAAATGATTTACTGTATCCAAATAGGCTGTTCCTTTGCCGACGTATTTCAAGGTCGCGGGCCCCGCTGGTGTGTAATTTTGTAAGTCAATCCCCGGATGCATATTTCGCTCGGAATGTGACAATTGCTCTAGGCATTCCCATGTCAAATATTCTCTCAAGAAAATGAAATTAACCCCTAGATGTGATTTTCTTTAGTTGCCGATTATACTAACTTGAATTATTGCCACTAATTTACCCTGATTGACAGCGGTTTTGATAACCGTTTGCCCGCTGTCATTTTAGAATGTTTACAGTACAAACCACACACGCTTTGGTAAAAATGGTTTCGTTATTTTTGTTCAGTTGTTAATTTTGCTGTTGTTTCTGACCTTGTACAAAGGAATAAACCCACAGTAATGTAAATTCCAGTGTTTCAAGGAGAGTCTAATTTCGGGGTTGAGAGGCTGACTATTTTTAGAGACGTGTTTGCGTAAACACTTCACCTTGTTAACCCTTTAACTTCTATGAGTGACCAAGACAGAATTCCTCCTTACAATATCAATACAATATCAAGCAGACAAGTGATGAGAATAAAGAAAAATATCATAAAGGAAAATTTTAGTTGGTCCAATACCAAATTCTCTGAACTAATATCACAAGAATCGTATGGCGGGCAATAATGGGAATTCTTTAATGAAATCTTGGGAGTGAAGGGGTTAATTTAGTTTGCTTGGGCTGGGTTTCTGGACACTGAGAGTCTAAACAACTACTTAAAAAGCAGCAGTTATAATCCATAATCTAAATCCTGTTTTGTTAAATTTTAAGTATTATCAGCATCACCCCTAAGACTATGATTCACAAAGAGTTGTGTTAGTGAGTCCCCAACCACATTTCTTAAGCCTATTGGTCTTAAAGGTCGTTTGTCAGGAGTTTACTGACAGATTAGAACCTAGTATCTTGTACAGCATGATATACATACCACATGAAAGTACTGCTTAAAAGCTTTGATTTAATGGTCCCACACTAGGGTTCAATTCACAAAGTTAAAGATGCCTTTCATTATTAAAATGGTAACACACCACAGATTCACCAGCTGGGTTGCATCTTCAATTAATAGTGTATCATAATTCAACTAGAACTGTCAAACAGCTTCAAACAGTAGGAGGGTTTTTCCAAAAGACTTAAGAGTCACACCCTTCTTATGAAGCATGATAAAATTACTTCTTGAAAGTGCTGCTTAGCAGCTTTCAGAGGAATGCATGGTCACACATTGAGGTTTCATTCGCAGACTTAGACAAAGTAGACAATGACACAGACTTCGTTAAAATCACCCTGTATGTTGTGAGAGTTTCCCTATAAAGTTGCTGTACTGAATTTGGGGAAGCTCTCATTGCAATAGTCCCACAATGAGGTTTCATCCTCAAAGTTAAAACCACCTAGAACTATAACGAACGGTAGCACATTATAGTAGTTACTGTTCAGAATCTCTCCTTACAATGGTCACAAACTACGGCGTTTTTATATTGTTACACATTGACTGCAACAAATGGAAATCCCAAAAATTGTAAATTAGTCCAGGTTGATTAGCGTTTCACGGGAACATTACCTCATAATGTGGGACTTCTCTCGACTCAAACAACAGCATGGTATCACAAAGGAATTCTGTTAACTCCATGTAAGTAGTTTTAATATCTGCAATGATACAGGTTATTGCCTGCTAAATGTTCTTCATGGAGAATTAAAATAGCGAGACAAGATCCTATTACTTCTTATCTTCCATGTCCGGAGTTTGAGTGCGATTAGCGACACTAAGCTTCTCTGCGTACACTCCGTGAATATCGAGATTTAACCAGATTTCGTAAGTGACCTTTACGCTCTTATCCTCTGTTAGTCATGGTCTAAAATGCCACTGAAAACAAAACACCCTCTCACGAAAGAGAGTGTGCCAAAATCGTTACGTTAAAGCTCGTCAAAAACGTGATACGCCCCACAAAACCTGTGCAATACTTTCATGAGATTTAAACCACTTGGACAAATCTCCACAGCTCGTGGCTTTGGTTGGTTCTGTTTATTCGTGCTGGAAAGTTTATTCTGCTCTAGACAGAGTGGGATTGTTTTTGATGAAAACAGACGACCGCCGGATGTGGCTTTTAAAATGTCTCTTCGTTCCATAAGAAGCAACAAGGGTTTTAATAACCCCTTTTAACGCAAAGATATAACTTACAAGTGTGTCCTCTCTGTCAGTCAATCAAAAATCAAGTCTACGTCCATGAATCACTTGCATGCATATTTAGCTGATTAAAATAACTTTTCTTCAAGAGATTTTCTCTCATCCGGTTCTTTTAGCCAAACATTTTGATACAAACAGACCGTGCTAGCGTTGGTACTTTGAACCGGCAGGAATCGGAACTCGAAGGACCCTTATTTTTGTACACGGTAAAACCAAGAAGCACCCCATAACAAGATCAGATGTTATCATATCTGGAACGGAAATGGCAATCTGAAAATAACAACTAGTAGTGTGAGGTATTCTTAAAATTTTAGGATTTGCTATGAAATATAATGGAATTTCGCAGCATCCTCTTCGCGGCCAAATTGTCATACCATGATCGTTTGAAAGAGAATTTACGGAAAGATTGCAGTTTCGTAGAAGTTCCATGGCTATCCATAGTAAACATGCAACAGGGAAAAATTATTCCCCAAATAATTCCTTTTAAGCTACAGTCCCAAAAACTGTTCCATTCGTGTGTTAATTAGTGGATGGGCGGGCCGGATTAGCAAACAGGCCCCACTTGGCAATGAAGGATGTGTTGCTCATCAAATATTACTTCCGAGCTTGACTTTTTCTTTCTTTCCTTTTTTTAACATCACAGTAGAGAATACATCCTTTTGAAATAGCCTTTATCTTGAAAATTAACGATGTTATTCTTTGGTTATTGAACTCCTTGAAATATAGGTATTCAAATATTCATGGAAACAGACGAACGAATCGACAGAATAGAAAAAAAAAAACTCATCCTTCACCGCACGTGATCTGTGTGTCATCTAAGTAACCGAGAGCGAGGGATTAAGATTAAAAAAAATTGTGACAAACGCCATATACGCAGATAAGTGCTGTAAAATGGACAAGAAGACCACAAATATGCAATTGGCACGTAGTACAGATCATAGTTAACAGTCTAACACGGTGAGCAAAATTTCTAATAGACTTTATCAATTAAAGCAGCTATTTAGCGAATTTAGGACTCCCCTGACGTTGAAGAGGCACTTCGTTTATGATAAAACCCAGTAAACTGTTGCTTACAGAGTATACAAACGGCAGTATGGGAGAAAAATTCTCTGGACCAAGAAACTTACTCCACATGAAGTGACACATATACTAGGGTGAAGTCTTGGTTATTCACCAAGTCAACCAGCTTACTAAACTCCTACGCTAGAATAGCGAATAGGTGACAGTATCACAATGGAAGAGGCCGCAACGATTCATACAACTTATTTAATTGTAACACCGGATGAGGAAAGATGAATGAGTCATGACTTGAAAGACAAACACTTCTATACAAAGAGATTGTAGCCCCTTCACGATCTTTCTCCATTCAGCACTATGAAGAGGTGTTGTTACTGTTTGGATTACAAATTTGAGCTTTTGTGAAGAAGATAATGAGAAAATTGAATTCACCCTCAGCTGGTGTTATTTTGCACACATTGATTTACAAAGCAATTTGCACACCCGCAGCCAGGCTCCTTTTTACCAAGTGCAAGCATTATCTAAATTCAATGACTCGGATGCCTTTTGATCAGTGCTAGAATTAGTAATTTTAGGAATATGACCATTTGCTCAAATGCAGAAGTTTACCAAGAAAGTTTAGCAAACACTCACCTACCTCTTATTTATCGAAAGTAACGAAAGAGTACTAAGTTAGGTCTTGTCTCAGGTTTCTGGCAACAAAGACGGGCTGATTAAAAATGGTGCCTTGAGGGTTTGTAGTAACTGTGTAGTAAATATAGGCCGTGGCCGTATTAAATGTTCCATCAATATTGTGGGTGGTAATTAAGTAGTATGAAGGAAAGAAATATGTATTTGTTTTTCTACTGAAACAAAGAGGTCTTCTAGCATAACTTTGTATAAAAACGGGTGCTCTCAAAGAGGATCGCTTCAGGTGATTTTGTCAAAGCCAGACCTTCTCTAAGGTAAACGGCGTCACGTGTTATTGCGGATGCTACATTGTTTCTGAAGATGTTTAAACAGACATCATCAACTCTGAAGCTGATCAAATCGAGACATTGGCGCAATGAAAAGGTCGTTGGTTAGCACAATTGTTCACAGAATTAACGTTCGATTCTCTTTTGTCTATTGTTTCGTGATTTATCCTCTTTTCTGAACAGACGATTGACCAGTCTTATGACCCAAAAAAGTCACTGTATTGAAGTTACTATAGAAAACTGACATGTACTCTTTGAGTTGGTTTTATCCACACCACATAGGTTATGAAAGTTTCATTGTCAATTCTTTAAAGATACGTGCACTTGATAAGCAAGTCTAGCGATCATTACTGACTCGCGTTGTTTTTCATAATCATACATCAATAATTTGAATTAAAACATGAGACGATCAGTCTAAGGTTTGATTAATTTTTGAGAAGATGAGGGCAGGAAATAATCTAGTTTTCTATAACGGCCAATTTGTGTCGTATTTTATTTTTTGTTTCCCCACTATTCAATGCTGTGTTTATTTATCGAGGAGAAATCTCCTTTTCCTTCAATGTTTACATATGCCGTTGGTGGGAAAGAAAATATTATGATGTTGTTTTGTGTAAAGCTTTTTGATCGGAAACGCGAGTAAACGAAAAAGAATTAAGTTCTGAAGCAGATCCTATTGTAGATTATCACATAGATTAACAAGCCACTAGCCGGCAGAACTTTATCTGATATTTTGTCGTGAAGGCGTTAAGTAAATAGTCAGAAATGTGCGGTCGCAATAGGTTTTTATCGCTATTTCAACGGGAATACTGAAGAAAATCTTAAAAATTTATTGAGCAACTAAGAGGTGTTAGTTACTGCCTTTAAATAGGTGTATCTTTCATATGTCTTTTTTTTAGTTTTACATCACAAGTTGAAAAATGAAAGTATGTATTATTCCGCAATTCAAAATTTCTCTCTTGAGCTTCAAAAAATATTGTTTTTGTAGAAAGGAACTGACAGCCTTTCAAGTCTTATCTCCATCACGTGACACTTTGTGATGACCCTCTTATTGCAAAGTCCCACCTTAACATGAAAGAATTGATCTTCCGTTGAGAAATCTCAGAATTAAGAGAGGGTACTCGCAGTGGTAGAGTGCAAAAATGGATACACTTAACTTTGGACCGCCTTCTCTTTCAAAACACGAGTCTGACAATGCCGTGAGATTAAAAAAAAAAGCAAAAACATGAAAGTGTACGTCCGTCCTCGCGCTTTACCTTGTTGATAAAAGCATGATTAGTTGAATCTCTTCTCTCTCACTTGGCCTGGTACAGAAATATTCCTAGTCCGCCATTTTTGTTCGAACCATTGCCATGAAAAACAAAGCACAACGGAAAAAACCCCTCTATCAGTAATTTATTGTATCATTGTGAACCTTTTCCCACTATTTTAAATTTAGTTTTAATCAGCAAAACAAAGAATAGGAAATAATTTCAGCTTTTCGAAAGGTGGCCAAGACAAAACAAACCGTTTTGTGAGGCGGAAAGGCGTGAAAAAATTGACCGAACAAGACTGTTAGACCGGCAGAGAACAAGGATTAGTTTTCTAGCTAGTTTTTATCATTTGCACAAAGATTTAGTCTGTTAGTGCGTTTTGTCATTTCATTCTTTGCTCTGAAAATTGACGCTATTAGTTTTATTAGCCATATTAAAATTTACGAAAAATATTGATTCAGGAAGGAGGAAATTCGCCTTTTTTATTTTCCAGCCGCGCTAATGAATTCGATTTCTCATCAGACTACAGAAACTAACAAGTCTTTAAGTTTTACAATTTCCAATTCAAAGTTTTATCACCTACACGCAAAATTGAAATTGGATTAATTTCAATCCTGTGTAAACTGCGTTATTAAGGAAATACGAAGATAAATTTCGGAAATGTCAGCTCAAGTTTATATAAAATTTAAACCTTTAAACCAAAATAGACAGTGAAAAAAAAAAAAGAAACTTGCTCTGCGTCCTCGTGTTTGGATAATGTGTTGTAGCCTGCCCAACCAGGTCTCGCCAATCAAAATGTTAAGTTTAATAAGTTACGTTTCCAAAAAAATACTCCTACAAGAACCAATGAGTTTTCTTTTAAAGAAATTCGCTGCCGCACCTGAGGTGACAGAGATAAAAAAGACAAAACCTTAAATCAACAGCACGGTTTAGTAATCAAACATCTTTGCACAGTAAACGGCCATTTTTAATTAAAGTTAGTGTTATTAAACTATTGTTGAACACACAAAGCTGCCCCAATAAACAAACAGTGGGTTTTTTATCCCTTTTGTAACCAAGAACCTCTCAATCATAAAACAAGTCCATTTTCCCGCCACAAAATTAGTTCTCGATTTCAGAGATCAATCAATTCAGAATTTAGAGGTGTTTTGATTTCGCGAAAAATTAAAAATTTCAAGTGCTCTTTTTTTAAGAATTGGCTGAGAGCGTGATGCAAGGCTATTTGATCAGCCATTTCCTTGGCTTTATTTAGCCAATAACTTTGAAATGTCACCGAGCTATGACATGAAATCACAGTTAATGATGTCTTTTTAATTCTCTGCTGACAGTCATAAAGAAAAAGAAAAGTATTCACAAGACTAACCCGGTCGCAATTGTCCGAAAAATACTCCGTTTCCTTTTCATTGTGAAGAAATCGTGTCGAAAATGGCTTTATGACCGCGAATTTCCCATCCAGAAATTCGCAGCCGTCCATTCGGAAATGCGCTTCCGTTGTCAGAAATATTTCCAATTAAATTCTGTGTTGCTTGATCCCAAAGCGTCATTTTTTTCGTGTTAAAGTACGATGCACTAATTAAATGTTAAAACAAAGTGAACAGAGGCGAAATTTGTTAGCAAGCCTAATTTTATGTAGCAATGAGATCACACTTTTTAGCAAACTTCCTGGATCGCTTGCAGCATAGGAAATTTAAAGTCTAAATAAAAACTTTTTATTACCTTTATAGTCAATACAGCTAATCCTTAAACAAGCAACAATAAAACTTTTACTTATCCACATGTACAGGCATAAAATATGAAACAACTTCAGTCTTACATGTTTCGATAAATTCGAAACCTTTTGTTGTCGTCCCAAGGAAAACTTAAGACTTGAGACGCGCCACTGCAATTTTAACCGCAATGACGAAATAAGCACTATCCTTCTGCACTGTAATGTTCAAAGCTTCGGAAAGGGCTTTTAACGGGGCACATAGATGTTCGCATCAGATTTGAGTTTTCTACAACCAAAACATACATAATACTGTTGTGATTTTCGCTTACACTGAAGAGGTCAAGTTAATCCTGAACCAGGTTCAAAATGCGTAGAGAACGCAAGTTATCGACGGATTTCCGTTTCTTCAGCAAACTCACCACTACCTTGGTGATTTTATAAAAAGGAACTCAAAGAATATATCAACGACTTTAAACCTTGGAGCTACAAAGAAGTGTAGTTTATCCCTTCCGCAGTCTAGTTCTATGTTGTTTCTGTAACTGATCCCAAACAAAAGAAAAAACATTTTTTGTTATTTTTTGTCGATTGCCAACTCTAATCTTTTAGATTCAATATTGATGCTATGGTCTAACGAAACTGTTTAAATATTTAAATACAAAAGAAATATGATCGCTACTGAACTGAATTTCAAGAGGAAAAATACTGAAATATAGCTTTTCAAAGCAAATTGTAGCCTCTTGAAAACAATGACGGTGAATCTCGGACGAGATTTATAAACTGACTGGAATGTCCTGCTTGATAGAGGCATACCACGCACCAAAATATAAACAACACGCTAGATTTTCCTCTTCAATGACACCGGCAAGTTCATGGTGATCAAAAAAATTAAGCGCACAAAATTTGTTACCTGCACGCTGTCTTCCAAACCTTCTGGAGTATTTCTTTCATACTGGGTCGTAGAATGGACGTTTTGACTAAGTATCTTGAATGAAATAACACGCCAGACAAAACATCGAAATCTCATAAAACAACTTATAAATCACTGTATAGTCTTGAGCGAAAGATTTATCAACATCACTATTTGCGTCATCTCATAGATATTTTGAATCCAGGCTCATCTTTACGGGAATGGTATTACTTTTCATTGTGAAAAATTGCTGACGCTTTAAGTGTTCCATAAAAAACTCAGAACGACAGTTGAATACACAAAAAAAAAAATGTCCAACGCGCACAGTTGATATTTCCTGTACATTATATTATCTGCATGAAACGGCACCGATTTTCTTCTCCAAGCAGTACAATACAATACATTACACAATCATCTTACACACTAAGTACGCAACTATTTACAATATAGTTTTTACTATCTTAATGATCCCTTTCTCTGTTATTTCTACACTGGTTAACACACGCGATTTCTACTGATCAAATTTGCCAAGTATTGGAATAGACGATCGAATCTCGGTTTTGCCCAAGAAAGCGTAGAATTTACAGCGGACTTTTTTATATAGTTATTGCGAGCCTTCCACAGGTTAATTTTTGTACCTTTATACAAGCCATGTTTTCTTAGAAGCTATGATCTAAACTGAACTTTTCACTTTTTTATCTGTTTTTGACAAACGCTACGCACCCAATGAACATTTACTCCAATTACTTGTAAAACACAGACTGACTTATCGATAAATAAACTCGCTGCGTTTTCTAAAAATTTAACAGCTATTTGTTCACAACAGCAGGCGCATTTCTTGGAGCAACGTGAATTTTTTTACCAATAAGTTGTCGGTTGGATGTAGGAAGAGTTTACGGGCGGAGGATAATGCAGGTAGTCGCCTTGATACGGCGACCCGCTTAGATAGCTACACGAAGGACTGACACAGCTGCAGAATTGTCCAGAACCATTTAGCAATGCTCCTTGTGAAAGAGGCGAGTAGGGTTTGTCCCAAGGTCCTCGTTCGCTAATCTGCTTACGATATTTGTATCTGTGATTCTGAAACCAAATTTTCACTTGGGCTGGTGTAAGATTTACGATTCTTGCCAATTCCTCGCGTTCGGGCGCAGATAAGTATCTTTGCTGTTGAAATCGTCTTTCCAAGACAAAAGTTTGCGCTTTTGTGAACAACACTCGCCTTTTTCGTTTCTTCAAATCTTTGTCAGAATGATCCTTTTTGACGGAGTCAAACTGCGAGATGCTTGTTTGTTGGCCGCCTGTGAATATGAAATGATAGTTCTTCAAGTTAGAGTCCCTTTCGATGCGAGTTTCAACAGACTACCAGTAAAATTATGAAGCCTGAATAATCTATTCTGGATTACCTCTATTCACCTTATCTCGAGAATGAAACGCAGAATTTGCTCATTTAAAAGTCCTTGAAGTCAAACAACCTCAAATCATCGAACTTTAATCACGCTAACAAAAACAGAATGAACTTTTTTTTTCAACATGGTCGGTTGAAACAGAACCGGCTCGCAAACTCGAAAAGTTGACAATTTCATTGACATATTTTTCGCACCAAAGCAGAATTAATCACTTGAAACTTTTTCCGTTTCTATTGAGGATATAAGTGGTGATAGAAAAGATGCGCTATTCGCTACAATGCTGAACAACCTCAGATAGTCGCCACTGTATGTTGCACGCCTCTGTGATGCACAATATGCAGCTTGACAGTCAAGTAGCGCAACTTCGAGATTTCTCAGATATGGCGAAGTTTGAAGGGCTTCACTATTCTCAACTCTAATGAAGAAAATGCCTTGCCGCTATCTTTCATAATAAACTCTTAAGAAAGTCGGCTTATCTTCTGCGCTGTACTCGACTCTTTTTGAAATGTTTTTGAATACAGCACCCTTACATCTACCATAAAAAAAAAAATTTAATTAACATTAAAATAATTCGTACTTGACTTGGCCGTTTCTGGCGCGTTCGCCTCTGGCTCGTCTGGACTGGACAACGTCTGTGGAGGGCAGCTCCTGTCTTGAAATGACATCTGTTCTTCGCTCTTGGAATTCAATGATCGAATTCTGTCCTCTGGAAGATTAAGAATGTCTCTTATGGAAAAGGATCCCATCCTCACGTTTCGTGTAAACGGTCTCAAATGGGTCCCATTGTGTTGGATGCTAAGATAACAAGATTTAAAAGCAGGTCGCACGCAGAGGGCAGGCCGGTCCTGGAGCATTGGGCGGGGCTTTACTTCAAATAAATGACAGGCCATTTGAAATAAAACAAATTGCCCTGAATGTCATCAGGCTGTTTTGTTAAGAGAATGCGCTCTGACAAGACTGACACATCAACTGATTGCTGTGAAGGCATGACTAGATGCCTGTCACATCAACGGACCTAATGCGACAGCGCGGCCATTCTCTAGGCGCGAAAAGTTTCCTTTCGCCTTTATTTCACACATGTTTTACCGTGGTATTGCACTCTGTTTATTTAGGTTTTAATTGGATTGGCGGATTAGGAAGTTTACGTTCATTTCTGTTGTCATTGTTTCGTTTATCACAACGTCACGATTTGGAAATCATAAAACCTCTATAACCTTCCCAAACAATTTCTTTTCAATTATTCCCTCTTCCGTTGACAGAGGAGCGACCATGAAGCCTCCTTTGGGAATTGAAAAGTGAAGGACATCAAAGTTTTTTCGAATGTGGATACAATCAACATGATTTTCAGCGAAAAGCTCTCATATCTTATTTCACAGAAGTGACACGGTAAACATTGTCTCCTCTTGAACATCTCAGGAAATTAGAAGTGTTTTGCGGATCGCCCTCCCAAGGACAGAATAGCATTCTACACCGTTGACATTTTACCTTGAACTTTTTGCCACCCATACTTAAATCCACCCATGGGTCAAATGTGTCAGTTTATTTTTATGTTCCTTGTAACGCGTTCTTTTAACGGCGTTGTATTCTTTTTACTGACTTATTCATGGTCTCCCAATTGGACTAATTTATGTTAAAATCTAATTGTTTTCACACACGAGTTTTGTATACAGTTTGTCGGGTGAGTGAATTGTCTTACGTTTTTCGCCATGAATTAATAATAAGCCATGCTCTATCTTACCAGTAGATCCACTGTTTTGCACAATAATTGAAATCAACTTTACAATTAAGAGAACATCTGATAGAAAATGTATTGAAATTGTCAGTTTTTCTTTCTATAACATATGTGTTATATAGTTTCACACAAAATAACCAAATAAGGAAACCATCACAAAGGTTTACATGGATATATATCTTTAGGGCCATTTTTCTTGCTTCAAATTAGATGCTTTCAAAAGAGTATATTCCATTTTAAACGAAGACCTTCACCTCTAGAGTTAGTGGCCAGCGAAAAGTGAAATTTGGCCTTGAAAACTGTAAGTTTTTTCGGGGTTCACTGTGGGCAATTATCATATCTTATTGAGAAATTGTTTATTGTGTTAATCTTTTAACAGCCCTGAGTTCGTCTCTCTCATTGTATTTACCAACTATGTCATTCAAATTTATTTCATCGAAAAATTGACTAGCCTAGTCGCAGAAGAATAGTTAAAAATAATCCCCTTTGTACAGGATTCATTCCTTTAGATCGATAATGAACAAAATCGCGTGGCAGTGGTGGTGCATTGTCCAGTGTTCGTTGAATTATAATGGCTAATGAAAGAAAAAAAAAAACTAAAAAAGCACAGGTTAATGGAATTCTTGTAAAGAACTGGGTACATTTTTGTTTTGAACAAATTTTTGTAAGGAGGCGTGTAGTCAGTTCTTCGAGTCTTAGTTTTGGTTAATTCACAGATTTCGTTGTCTTGTATTGACTACATTTAACATTATCACAATAGTTTTGTGCTTGTGGCGCTACGCTTTGTAACAGATTTGTTTAGGCTACGAAAAGAAGCAATTTTAAGACGATCGGCTTTGTTGCCTCTTCAGGTAAGTCTATGTAAGGGGTTGTTGATTCTATTAGCGATAGGGGAGAGTTCAGTCGTTGTAAAAGCGAAAATTCAACATTTTTCGGTGATAAATCTCTTAACAATGAAAACAAACACGCGGAGTAATACCTAAAATTGATAGGCGGTATTAAAAAGCGTGTTAAACCAAATGTAATCAAAGTTTTGTTACTTTGTTAGGTTTGACGGGTTGGTGCTTAAAAAATTATTTTATTTTGTCTAGCAAAATGGCGAAAATACATCTATTTTTCTTGAAGGTGAGATCCTTTGGCCAAAGACCTGTTTGTATCATGACAACGAGAGGCTTTCAACAGATTTTCAAGTGTTACGTGACCAAATCTTATACGTCTCAATTTCTCCCCCACTACAAAACGTGAATTGGAAATCCTTTAGTCAAGAGGTGTAACCTGATTCAGTCCACGAGGGTAAACTTTCAAAGACTGCATGTAAAGACTTTGACTAGTTTCTTAATAGATCAGTTATGTTTGTTTGATAAAACCCTCGGTAGAAATTTTCTCATTGAAAACCTTAAAAAAGGCCGTACGTCACATCTCATTTGTAATTTGCTCCTGGGACTCTTGCCTAAAATGTTTGCATTATTTATCACGCGCCATATATCGACAATGGTTTGCTTGTTTCCATTTACGTGTATGGCTATGAGAGTAAACATTGTGTGGGATTCACTAACAATGAAAAAAAAAACTTTTCCCTCGATCGACTGACAGATGTGACATTTCGTCTAAAATGAACAATTGTAGCAAGGCAACTAAAGAATTGGGCAAAGAATAGGTTTTAATTCATGGGGAATAAATTAGATGACCCTTTTATATTCATTGCTAATAAGTATAGACTTAGTTTTTGAAAGTATCTCTTAGCCATGACTAAAATTTCTAAAGGTAAGTTGTTATTAAGTGCACGCGATTTATTAGGGTTTGTCAAAACTTCTGCAGATTTCTTTGACTGATCGAAGGGGGTCCAAGCTAACTCTTGAATAACCATAACATGTTACCCGTACAAACAAAATTTTCTTTGTTTTTCTAAAGACGAGTCGTACTTATTTACATACGATGTGACTTCAATAGTTTAGACTTTTCAAGGGATATTTATAAAATCTAAAGAGGCTTCGAAAAAACATCTCTGTAAACGGCTTTGTTCTGCTTTGTAAGCACGCGCCATCGGCTTATGAGTCTGCGCGCACCACATCTCCGTACACCGTTTGTTCAGTGTGCCTCACACACACACACACACACACACACACACACAAAAATACCTTGTTCCATTTGTAATTCCTCGCACGTGGTAAAAACTGGAATCACAAGCCGGCTCTCCGTGGGATGTAATAACAGACAAGAATGTAACCCCGTTTATCAATCTCCGCCTAGAATGTTCCTTTCTGATTTTGCACGAATCAAGCATCTTTGATGGATTCTTATACCGGGCTGAAAATGACATGAGCGGAAACAGAACGTCTCTCCACTTAGAAATGAAGATGGTTCTAATGAAATAGATACAGGGCGATGTTTGACTACCGAAACAGGACGCTTAGTTGTTTGCTCATGAAATGATTCTTTGTGACAATTTACTTCAACTTTCATATTGTTAAAATCATACAACATAGAATGGATCACATCCGCACCACGGACTGTCCGTACATGACGAATCCGGCATTTTGGGACCGTTGTCAAATTCATAATTATGGTCGTTGATTCCGGAAATGTTTACTGCGTGAACAAACTATACATGGTCTGATGCAGTTTCGAACGATTTCTACGGCTCGTGAAACACACTTTAACTACTCAAATTAAAGCGATGGAGAAGTGGCAGGAGTGATCATTTCTTATTTGAATCTAAATAACTAACGTGACACGCTATGATTTAGGTTGATCGACGAAACGGATTATCTTCTATGTTCCAAACACTTTGACCTGCATCATCGCGAAACGTAAACGGCTCAATAAAAATTTTTCCCCCAGGCAATGAAGGATTAATTCTTGAAAACATTAAAGGAAAATTAAACAAATTTATTTCTGTGACAAAATTAGCAGGAATTCAAATTTTTGTCGGTCGTATTTTAGGTCACATCAAACCGTGCTTCACTGAAAACACGTTTCTGGTGTCGTTTCCTGTATTTTTCCACCTAAAAATAACAGTTCCTATACCCTGAGGCTAGAAATATTTTTAGTGTTCAGGCAGTTCTAGTTTAAGTTTACCAGCAAAAGAGCTCTATCATGGAGGATCTAATAAAGACAATCTGTTTTACCTGGTTAACGATATATTTTCGGTCACAACCAGCTGTCCCTTTTGACTGAAAACAGGGCGACAAAACCATTTCAATGTCCTTGAAATTAAAGACTTCTCTCCTCTTGGAACGAGTTAATTTTATCCACAATCCTCGCAAAACTGTCCAACCAAAACTAATGAACCATCCCATTCTTAAGCACATGGTTTTAGCGAGAATTTTTGTTGAAGTAATTTTGTAAGCCTACCCCATAAAATATTGATTTGCTTCACCGCTGTAAAACGATATGCACTACTAGATACGACAAAAAATATATTATTTGCATCACGGTTCAAGTTCGGTTTTTATCAATTTTAATCCATTTTAGAGTAGTATAGTTGTTCCTTTTAAAGGAATAACTGTTCTTTTCCTTGCAAAAGAACTTTGATTCAAAGTAACACTGTTGGACCATTTGTTAACTTGTTTCTTAAAATTACTTACAATGAAATGTCCAAGTCAAGAAGTAAGTATTGTATTGTTCCTGAAATTTACACTCGAACGTACACTCTGTTGTTGCGCACGGCATCGCAACTTCATTTAAGTAGTAAAATCACATTCACGGAAGCAACGCATTCAGCCACGCGGCACTTGAAGGCCCTCGATGTGTTTCAAGAGTTAATGTTAGAGTAAAGCCTTTACACGCTGTTGAGATCTGAAGATGTTTTCATCTTATAGAACGCAATGGCTCTCTTGAAAGGCTTTCAAGCTATGCTCTCATAGCCCAAGTGGGCGGCCCTTTTGGTGTAATACGATCGCCTTATTGCGATATAGTCACTTACTGAGTGGTTTTTGCAAAACCGTCGAATTTTTTGAACACTAATTAGTGGTTGTTTGGAAGAACGGGTGCTAATGGCTCGGCCGGTAGACAATAAAATTCGCCGTTCTTTTTCATGTCGTCTGCGCGCCTCTCTCGTTTAAACGGTTTTCTACTGAAACAAAAATAAGGATGCATTCTTCACGCTAAAGGAAGAAAAGAGCAAGAACAAAAAATAAAGGAATCAGTCCATCTCTGGGCGTAAGATTTTAATCCTCCCTAATTGAACTGTATTAGACGTTTCAGGTTGTAATGTTTATTTATGAGCCACGCATTGTTGAGTTTATGTCAGTCAGCCAGTTGTACGGAACACGCGAAAAACAGAAACACTTTTGTGTGTAGAACTTTCTATTGATTCATAATATTCACAGAGCTTAAATTAGAATATCTTTGCCCTAATGCCATAATGGTCTGCCTGTCGATCAACGAGTGACACGAGCAAACAGTTTGTTTGAATGAGTTGGTTGTTAAGCAAACACGTTTAGCAACGTAATACCTTCTTGTACTTCATCTCCGCGACTGTAAAATATTTATGAGCTTGTGAAACGTTCGATCATCCCAATTTTGCTTTTGTTTTTCATTCTCTCTCTCCAGCGCAAGGGAAAGGCGTTGGAAACCGTCTTTTATTATTGACGAAGAAGATATATCGCGAAGTAAATGAACACCGAAAAGAGGTCAGCTGAACGCATAAGAAAACAATGAAGAGGACTCCTTTTACACGAGGAGGCAAAGAAAAAAAAAATCTTTGCCTGTTAAGTAGCTAATATCTTAAGTACTAAGAAGGTTCTTAACAGGTACTGAAACGAGCCTTTGGTGGAGGTCGAGCAAACGAGCGTTGTAAAATCTATTCAGGGCGCCTGTTGTCTCAAAACTTCCTTTTCGACCCCTGCGTAGCTCGCCGCGTGCTAAAGCCCGACTCACCGGGCCGGCGTAAAGCCAAGATCTGGTGGTAATTATAACTTTTGGAACGTACCTGTTCTGGTTGGAAAGCCTTAACCAATGCACTCTTGTAGAAGGAAAATATTGTAGTTCATGCCGTCAGGACTTCGGTAATTTTTTCCCTTTGTATAAAGATCGTATTTATAATGCCATCGTTTCAATGACAATGCGGAAACGCTTCGCAAACTACTACTCAGTTAAGTTCACTGTTAATATACTCAGTTTTCGCCCGAGGACGAATAAGTCCTTAAAGTAAATGGTTTAAGAATTGTCTTTCAGGTGTTTTTCTAGTGCTATTTACTTTAGTAAGGACGCGAACTCGTTCTGTAAAAATACTTACAAAACTGCTCGGATATCAATGTCTGTCTGCCCAATTTTATTTATAGCGCACCCTTTGTAAGACGAGAGAAAACGTTTTATCTCTTAATTCTTTTGTGAAAGTCGTGACGGTTTGCGCCAAGCTAACGTAAACATTTTGCTTTTTAGGAAAGATATTAAAATGCAACTGGGACCCATTAACGAAGCGTTTACAACCCCACAATCAAACGAACATTCGTGTAATTAAAATGTTGACAGTTTCCAAATGCTCCTCGTACAATACGTAGAAAGCCACTTGGTGAACTAGCTTAGCAGCCGGTAGTTTTGAGAGAGAGGCGGATTGTAAATAAGCAACCACTTCTAAAAAGTGGTATTTCTCAAGAATTCAGTCTATAATAAAAAAAAATATGTAATAAAAACAATAGTATATAATACCTTCAAAGCACTCAAACGTGTGCGTGATATCGTAAATAGGTTCAGGGGAAAGTAAGAAGGAAAAAACATCGAAAGCCGGAGCGATTAGCAAAGGTGCAAATTTTTATAGATTTTATCACTAATCCAACAGCTCTCTCTTCCGATCGGCCATTAGTTGGTGTTCAACCTTTCAACTTCGATTACAACGATATTTCAAAATGTGGAGAGGCGTGAATAAGGCTACATGAACTGAGTCCTTGAGACGTTTGTATGGGTCGTGAGTTGAGGAAGTGTCTTGAAATTAGTTTGGACGTCAGAACTCCAATAAAGTGACCCATTCAAGGGAAAGCAATGATTGTTTGTGTTCCAAGCGGGGGGAAACAAGCAGTCGGGTCTCTCCGCCCAGCGTGACATGTCAGATGAAGCCTTTTAGGGCAAATCTGTCATTCGAAAGAGGTTTACGTGTGACAGGGCATTCAATTGCTATCTTTCTAATTAATTGTGATGTCAACTTCGTCACCACCTTAACCTATCAATAGAAGTTGACTTACGCGAATTTGGGCAACATTTGTTTAATGTCAAACATCTTGTTCAACACTTGAGAGCCTGGGCACGCCCCAAAGTATAAGAAGTTTGGCTGCGAACCGCTTCGGATCGAGCATGACTGAAATGCGACTGTGTTTGGGTTTGTAATGGCACTCATCTGAAATCCATGTCCGCAATCGATCGACCCTTCGACATGACTTCGTTCTCCGTCAAGGACATCCTTAATCTACCAGAGACCGGGTTATGCCCGTCTAAAAGCGAAACAACCCATGAATCGTCCTCAACCGAGAGTTATCATTGCCCTGGCGGAAACACTCATTCTCCGTCATGTGGCTCTGCAGTGTGTAATCAAGGCCAAGAGTACTCCTATACAAGTAAGAATGAACTTGATTTTGTATCTTTGATCGAGCGAAAAGTAAACGCTGGTATTTATGAAGTGCTAAAATCGATAGCTGGTAAAGACCTCGCCGCAATTCTCGATAGAGTTTGTTCTGTTTCTTTTGTAAACTACGTGCGACGCGACGGATTTTTCGCATACAACCGAATTTCTTTTCCGGAAAAATACAATGACGCGTTTTACGAGGCAATTGCAAGCACGACTGAAAGATGACTGCAGTTTCAAATTTTAATTGAGTGAATGCCATATTGCTTCCAGTTTTGAAGGCTCTTTTCTTTATGCGCCTCGTGGAAGGGATAACAGGCTAATTGCTGGGGCTTACAATTCCCCTAATTTCTTGCAACTTCACAGCTCTTTAGTTGCGTCGTAGATATCGTTACATAGGCGAAACATTAATGAAATTTTTTGTTTTTCCGCCGTAACAGATACACATCCGAGCCCGACAGAAAGGCCTTCGACGTCCTCAGCGGGCTCCCAAGAAATATCTGAGCGAGAGGAAGCGTCCGATGACTTGAACGATCCGCCGAAAAAGCGGAAACGAAGAGTTCTATTCACTAAGGCGCAAACTTATGAACTCGAAAGAAGGTTTCGTCAGCAAAGGTACCTCTCCGCGCCGGAGCGCGAACAGCTCGCTAGAATAATCAATTTGAGCCCGACGCAGGTGAAAATTTGGTTCCAGAATCATCGATACAAATACAAGAAACAGAGTTTTGAAAAAGGAGTAATGAATGAGGGACCTCCATTGTTCACTCCGAGAACTGTTCCTGTACCTGTGTTAGTGCGAGATGGCCAGCCTTGTCATGGTGCTTCGGTCAATAGTTTTGGATATTTACGACACGATCCTACAGACTACTATCATTTTCCTCCAGTAAGTTCGTCATACATTTCTCCTAGCAATCCTTATTGGAGCTGGTAGCGTGAGCATACTTTGTACAACGCGTGTTGTGAGAAGAATTCGTAGAACAATGCAGATCTCCTTGAAATAATCTGTCACGGAGAATAGTACAAAGTCAATTGTAAGCTTATAAGCCAACATTGATTTCAAAAACCTACAAGGGCAAAGGATCTCATTATTTAAAGAATCTCACAATATTTTCCAGGTTTGATGTTTTTATTAGATATTCTTCAAGTTCTTTGAAGTTCTCTTTCGACAAACGCGCAGCATAAGCTATTTTCGTGTGATATAACAGCTGTTGTCTTTTACGTCTTAGAAATGATTTGAAAAGATTTTCGTTTTTATCCTTTAAAAATTGCAAGTAACCAGATTTTATAGCAAGTGATTTTGTAGCTGTTTCTTTTAAATGAAAATTTTTGATTTCGTAGTTATTTTTATACTATAAGTTGCTAGGCTGCTTGAAAATTGTTCCTAATGCTTTTAGTAAATGCATGTCTGAAATTATGAAGATGGAGATAAGAGCCCATCATTTTTCAGGAGATAATCCTTGGCAAGCTAAACTTAAATTCTAATTACAAATCTTCTCGTTTTCACTAAAATGCTAGTTATTTGAGTTTGGCGTAAATGTCGGCAGTAATTAGCTAGTTTTCTTCGCCAAAGCAGCTTTTCGTTTCACTACACGAATTGTCACAAAACATTACAACCGCAATGCTGGGCGCTCGCGAATGAGTGAATCAAAATTGACAACGCAATATTTGGCAAACAACACGTCTCGTTCTACTTAAAGGATTTTATGAGATGCTCTCTAACACTTTGACACACAATTTTCGCACTTAACCCGGAGCCTGCTTTTGTGAAACCAAACAACCGGAGAAATTCTCCCATTAAGAGATGAAAGTACCAGTTTTTGTTTTCATTTCAAGGTGAAGAACGGGAAAGGGTTGTTACGGGCTTTGGTCGCAGTGTTAAATGGACCATGGAATCTGCTCGTAATTGATTGTTGTTCATGTTTACTCGATGGAAAAAGAGGAGTGGTCAGTGTAATTTCTTAGACTAGATCTTTACCAAATTGAATCAACGCTAGTTTGCTTTCGGATTAGCTCAAAAGAAAATAGTGACAATCGACAGACAACATGAGCAAATCGCTTCGATATCACAGAGTTTGACACAATTAGAATAAGTTATGCAATATGAAACCTATAGAACTTCCTTTACTGTGAAGTACAACCTACATTGTACTGAAAGTTAAAGGCAAAATTGGTGCTGTGCCTCGTTTTATTGAAAGCTTCAAGTCGCAAATTTAAAAAAAAAAACGAGAGAATCGAAAAGAAAACATCATGAATAAAACATTACCCACTGTTTCACTTATACCTCTTTGTTGAAAAGTGTTAATAAATTAGAGAAACAAAAACATTATGTTGGAATGATTTCGAGTGTTAGAAGCGGGAGTGCTAACGAAGAGCGAATTTTCGAGCACTTGTTTTGTACTCGAGAGCAATATGTCAAACTTATTCGACTTTTCAAAAAGGTTTTCACGCTTTCGTGGTCAAGAGTAGCTTTGGCGACGATGGAAAAAAGACAGATACAGTTGTGTAAGACAGTTCTAGGTTCGAATTTTTAAGTGTGAGATTAAAAAATTTTCTGCCTCTTCAGTCTCTACGTTATTATAATTTCATTTCACATCACAGAAACTAATACTTTCACGGACACGATAACCGCCGCGCGCAGTGCGTGTACAAATGAACAAAGTCGTATTTATTTTATTTAATTTATCTCAGTTATAGCTGACTACTTTAAGTAATGGAACACAATTAAACATTTGAAATAAAACGAAAAATGAAAGCTCTGTATAAAACGTGCATGTCTCTGTTTTGTTATTTTCAAAAATTGACCCACATGGCCACAAAGACACACATGCCAATCTGGCCCAAAAAAAATCCAATTTGAGGATGATTTCCCAGGCTAAGCACTCTAGTATAACTGCTTCTTCATATTGTAGATTTGAGATTGTGGCAAACGAATTAATAGCAATAATGCCCAGCCAAAGTTTGCGGGAATTATGGTATTAGAACTACTCCACTAGATTAATATATGGAGACCTCTCACACTGAAATATATAAACCTATGCAAAGTGGTCTCTGTGTTTGAAGGGGGAAATCACTTATATCGTAGCTGAAATTATACAAGGTTGTTTTACGATGATGTGAAAGTTCGTGGATGATGTTTTTGTCTCAATGAAATATGACAGAAACATTTCTCTTTTTTTGTTAATATTATTGACAATGTGTAGTTAGAGAGAGGTACGCGTCACAGGTGGCAGTGATGCTTAACTGACCCGCTGATGTAAAAATGTCTGATATTTTATGGGAAGTTCTGGCTGGTTCTCTCTTCAACATTGTTATGTCTTAGTTACAGTTAACCTTTCTTTATCGTCAGATTTAAGTTATATCCATTGGCTTTTTTCCATCTTTTTTTTTCTGTGAGCTACCAGCCAGGAGCACTTCTCGCAGCTGGTGGTATGGAATAAAATTGGGGCAAAGGCCACGAAAACACACAACATCATGTGGAGGTAGCGGACATGCGATTCGTTTCTCGGGAAATAAATGGAGGTGTTTCCCGCTTCAACGTGCTTTTATGATTTGTATTGCTTTGGATATAATTCAAACTTCATCTTAGTATTAATGACAGCTCTGGTACATTAATAGGCGTTCTTGTCCATGTTTCAAGTAAATGCAAGAACCTTGCTTATTGTTTCAGGATAAAATCTTATATTGGAAGGACTGTTTCTTCTTCGACTAACAGGGCTACTTCAACAACTGGAAAACATTCTTGTTTTGAAATATTCGAATGTCTTTAATGCATCAAACGTGGTAGAACCTTTAACAACAAGGGATCCAGTATTAATTTTTAGTTGGAGACTAGTTAATAAGAGGAGATGACATCCCACTCATATTTGTGTTAGAACTTACTATCAAAAGAAATAAAATACCTGGCGGTCTAATACAGAAGTTCGGCCCCTTTTGAAACTTCTAATGGAAGAGATAATTTGGTTTGTTCCCTGTAGAGCAAGATGGTCGGTAGACGAACGTCGCGACTGAGGCTGTGTTTTTCCCTTCGTTTACATCTGTTAGAAATTCAACATCTCGTCACAAAGTAAAGGACTCATTGACTCCGCTTCGAATAACACTGAAAATATTCTTAAAGTTCAATTTGAAATGATTTCGTCAGTTCGCTTCAGTACGCCATAGCCGAACGTGGAGAATATACGAACCGTCAACAACCTGAGACGCATTCTTTAAAGTTACCCCTACGTGTCCCAGAGAACACTATCCTTAAAGGAAGATCATTAAAATGGGAAACACTTTTTAAAATCACTGAATTAGTCGGGTAGGTCTTAAAACGCCATAATTTACCCGTAACACGTATCGAATTCACCAGCCAGCAAAGAGGCAGCCTATCAAGTAAAGGAAGTTCAGTTAGCCTTCACAATACAGCTTCGAGAATTGTTTATTTTCCTTCAAGAGACTGCAGCGAACTTTTACTCGAAAATTTTTTCAGTGAGAATAAGAGGTTGTGCTTCCTTTTTTTTTTGTTTTTGTTTTGTTTGAAATCCATACTAATTTTTTACCATGATTAATGGGTTGTAACATGTTGCCATGTCGAATGGACTTCACAGACTAAACCTGCTTTGCATACCATGACATTTCGTTTAATGGGCAGTAGGTGAAAATTTTAAACAAAAGCAACAGAATACCTGAATGTTTTTTTTATCAGAATAACTGTTCTTTACAGTAACTGAATAAAGCTTTTTTTTATGCCCACCCTATATATATATCTATCTACATTTGAATATTGACAACAAAGTACCGCTACATACTCTCTGCGTTCTTTGCGTTTATCTGCTTCCGTGACGTCTGAGAGCCAAGTTCTGCTACCATTTACTCTAAGTCGAAGTTCTTGAAATTGACTTCAAGCTCCGTAACAACTAACCATTGTATTAAGAGGGAGTCAGTTCCGATTTTCGAAAAATGTGCATATCTTACAATTTGAAAGTACATTTCCACAAAAAATTATCGATTTTCATTTTCAAGAGTGAAACTGATCTTTTCAATTACTTTGAAGACCACTCCTACAAAAAACAGATATGGGAATTATTTCGTCTTAAAACTAATCCTGTAATCTCCATCCTTGCACTCCAGCACTCTGGTATCAGTTGTTGATCCCCATTCTTGTATTCTGAAATTTTTTAAAGCGATAGTATCTTACGTAAATAAACAAAGCCTTCAGATGAGCGACTTCCACACCCGCAGGATTTGAAGATGACGCTGTTACTACTGCAAAAGACGTAACTCTAGGCATATTGCATTTATCGTCTTCAAGTTCACAATTTCAACTTGGAAGGTATTTCCGTTTTGTTTGGGATTATGAATAAAAGAGGACAGCTAACTAAATAGAAGCAGAAGAAAGTTTATTTGAAACTTGAAGCACCGCTGCATTGCGATTCGACTCGACATCTAGTCGTCGAGGAAAGTTTATGCTCACTTCAGACCATTCTATAGATTTGAACTTTAAAAACTTACACATATTTCTAGCGCGATTTCAAAGTCCGTGGTCTGTGAGTACGTCTGTTTTATCTCCACCCTATTTATGACAGACAAACGGAGCTTTAGACTGGTGAACCGGGTGATAAATCTGCCCTAAAATTTATTACTTACACCATAACTTGTCACGTATTATGGCGCGAAACTAAACTGAGCAGCTCAGCGACTACTCTTGGTTAATTTCAGTGGCGCCAAAGTGTCTGTAAAATGCACTCAGAGCAACAAGCCGAGAGCCACCTTTTAAGAGAAAAATTCGATGTTTATCTCCTTTTAAATCCCAATTTCTTGCTATTACATGGATCTGGTTTCTTAACTGGTGCCATTTCACAATGAAGGAAGTATTAATGCTCGTGTTATCAGTTGCGTTTCTTTAAATTTCAAAATAACTCAAGGGCTGCAACAAACGAAGCCTTTTATGCGAGCATGAAACGAAGCCGCCTTCAAAACATAATCTACATCGATAGCTACGTCCTGATGCAGAAGGCACCCCCTTCTTTGAAGCAAAACTAGAAGTCTGAATGCGCTGCGGTTTCCTAAGTGAAATGGTTTTGCGGTCAAAAAACTTATTATGATAAAAGGAAAGGCTCCATGCTAAGCATGCATATTAGTATCGATGTTCACACGACCTGAACAAAAAGATCATCGACACTCACAAGTGAAGGGTGACCTCTTTATGAATTTAGGAAACAGCAGTGAATAAGCTTGTAAGTGGCTTAGCGGTTTGTCTTTTTGCTTTCTTAAACCGGTGACATAGCAAAAACACCGGTGAAGCGTTTTGCGTTATTTTATCAAGCGAAGTGGTTCTATGACAATCCAATTTTCATCCCCCAAAGACAATCACACACAGTGGAGTGTTATTACAGTACGAGTTGAACCGTTAAAATCTAGTGACTTGGTTTTAAAGAGTTTTTGATTGTAATAAGTGCTTTAACAAGTCCTTGAATGTTTCCATCGGGATGCTTTTTTTATGGAAACGGAAAATGTAAATTTTCTTTGCGGACATTATCCTCTCGCCATCGGTTTTGACTATTATCTTCCAATAGCAACTAGGCTGGAAGGAGAAGATGAAAAAAATAGGGGTAGGAATCGTTCACTAAATATGCTGTCGTTTTCATCACAAGGGTGAACATGGTATGCATAAGCAGTATAAAAGGCCAGTGGAGGGACGACCACTCGACCTTTCTCAAACTGTAGTGAATTGCGGATTTCTAGTTACTTTATTCATAAAAGCAGGCTATGAAGCGGTTTCGGATTACGTACACTTAACGTTTTGAAGAGCTCACGTGGTTTCAGCTTCTGGAGATAAACTTAATACGCCATATGTTCCAGAACTGCGTTTAATTCGTATAGTATAATATTGCCAGGGATGCGATAAAAGAATTAAAAGGAAGGAGATAACGAAAAGATAAGTCTTTCCCTACGCGAGCTGGTAGGTGTGGGCGCGACGTGCAAATTTTGGTCTTCAACAGGTAGTCCATCGGCCCCCTCGTAAATGTTTTTACAGAGTCAGCGTTTGGAACTGTTCCAGAGAAAGAATCCCCTGTAAAGCTTTTGAGGCTCATAAGTGTTGGGTTTAACCAGCTGATTGGGAAGAAAGCACAACCGATATGCCATTGTTTAAAGTAGACAGCTGATCTAGGAGCTGTATGTAAATGCAAACATGGCCGCAATACCAAAATTAAAATGAGCACTTCTTGACGCGCTGATAAAACAAACCGTGAATAAATACAAATCGAAACGAGGGATTGTATCGCAAAAGTTATGAGAACTTTAATTTTGGTAAAGAATCGTATCAATTGTGGTCCTTCACAGTGGATAAATGGCTGCATACCCGTATCATAGCTGACCACCACGGAATCGCAAACTTATTTCAAAATAGTTCAATCAGTCGTAATTGCTCTGCACCTCAACTTGTCGATTCTGGTTTTCAAACCCAACAACCTCGTGTTAGTTAAGATTTAGTCTCCCTAAATTGCTGAGTAGTATCAAAGGTTCGCCGAAGAATTCGTACATTCAGTAAGATTTTCATTACAAGCGAAAATGCAGTCTGTGAATTGTTCTTTTCAAGTCGAGGAGACTGGCTGACTCAGATGTGGCTGTCAGTCCAGCATTAGTTACATTCGGTGCAGCTGGCATTAACTTTTCGATAAATGTGCTTCTTTCCTCCATTGTTCCACTGAAACTTAATCCACCGAAATACTACAAATAAATAAATGTGAGATGATTTTTTTACACGAAGCGCGAG